CCATACCGTGTACATACCGAGCACTGATGGCGTCACATTCACGTCGCAGCCTGATCGGATGTGGGCCTGGAAGCATGTGTGTGTGTATGTGTGTATGTGTGTACGTGTGTGTTGTCTGGTAATATGAAGGCAGTAACCGTTCTCTGAGCAGGTCTCTTCTGTCAGGACCATCGCGCTTCATTAACTAAAGAAAGGGTGACGGGAACGTGTTGGTTTCCGGCCGTATCCGGGCGCTCAGTGTTTGTGCGCTGCTGCTTACCCCCCCCCCCCCCTTGTCCTCCCCCGGCCTTCAGCTTCATTTCCAGCGGTCTGGAGAGAGTTACGGCCACAATAACGAGAAGCCACGCAAGTGTTTAGCTCCGCCGCTGCAACATATCCAGAAGAAAAATGATCTGCAGCTTTTATCCATGTTCTTTGTGGCCACAGCTCTGTTTGGAGTTTGGATGTCTCATCAAAATGGAATCCGACTTCCACTTTATCAATCTTTATTTCAAGGCGGCCGGGAGCCTGTGGAGCTGCTCGCAGATGTGACATGCCTCCTGAGGTTTAACTCTCGGTTTTGGGCTTTAAAAACAGAAAATATTATGTAAGATGTTATGGCTAAAATTAATAGTTTGTGTAACTTTGTGGAAAAAGGGAGATACCCACCTACTTAAGTATATATCTCACAGACAATCTTCAGTTCTTTATGTTTTTTGCTTTGCATTGATTTGTACACTAAACAGCCACTGGTCTTTACTAAAATGTCTTTTCACATTTTGATACATCACATCAAATACACGCAGCTCATGGCAGTGGCAGCATGATGCTGTATGGATAACATGGTGGGAACTGGTTAGTTTATGGGAAGCTAAACACTGGGAAATTTTGCAGTTGTTTAATAATAAACAAAACCGATAATACAGACAATAGTGGAGTTCCAGTGGAAGTGAAGATTTCAAAGCATATTGACATGTTGAAATGGCATAGTTAAAGTCCAGGCCTGATTCAAGTGAGAATCTGGAGCTGCTGTTGATTGGTGAACTGAATTGGTCTGGGCATGAGTGTATTTGTCGACATGACAAAACTTTAAGGAAATACTTTATTAATTTATTTGCATTTTTTTATGCTAAGCACTTTTTGAACTCTCCATTCTAACTACGATGGATGAACAGCGGATCCCACCTTCTGTCCCCGGGTCAATATTCACAGAGTCAACTTTTTGCAGTCGACTTCTGATTATTCGTGGAAAACCCACTTACAGAAGTGTTTTTTCACAACAGTTCTCTAGAATATTCTGAAAGAAAATGCAGCTGAAATACTTTGACACATTGCTACTTGATGCTATTGGCTGACTTTTAAAACTCAGCCAATCCAGGAACACTGATTGGCTGAACCCCAAGAGAAGAAATAAGAAAGACTGTAGATCTTCTACCGAAGTGCTAAGATGGTTTCCACTGTGCATATCAATGCATATTAAGGTATATTTGGTGTTTAAATTATTAAAATAGGCAGCTGTAAGTATTTTGAGAGAGAGTCTGAATTATTCCCAGATTTTAGCTAGCGTAAGACAGCATACAGTAAGACCATATCGTTTTTACACACAAAAATTAGACTCAAAACTTTCCGATAATGTACACAAACAGAATTAACTTTAAATAGCCGTCCATCCTGCTGATGCTGATGATGAAACCTCTGCTGAGCCCTCAGGAAAAAGTCATAAACTCATCCCTGAGAGCTGCAGAATGCATCTACTCATTTCAGAGCCATCCCAGCTCCAGGCAGTCATATGGAAACACAACAGTAATCAAATTATCAATACGCCACCCGGTTGCCACAGCAGACTGTCTGAGCTGTGCTCTGTGTAGGCAGGAGCATGAATAAATACAGTAAATCACAGAGAACTTTATAATTAATCAGAAACTGTTGGTCTGAATCACTCATGCTTTATATTTTATTTTCAAATGTTAGCTTTCAATTGATTTGAATTTTCATCTCTGACCTTTGGAGATCACAACGTAATGTTCTGTGTGAACTTTGAACTGAACGGTAATTGACAAAGGTGAAGAGAGAACGACTCATTCTGACAAGATTGTAGCTACTTCACTCACTACCGTTGATTATGTTAAAATGCAATGCAATATAAAATGCTGATGTTTGTCTAAAAATATATATATAAACCCAGCTTTCCAGCTAATTTTCTCCCAAACAGCCCCTTGTCAGAATCTTTGATTGTGATATAAATATAAATATTCGACACACATGCAGGAAGGCAAAGATTGTACCTCTGCTTTGCAACTTAGGTTCGCATCCTGGACTTAGGTTCTCTCTGGATACTCCGATTTCATCCAACAGCTCAAAAAACAAAACTGCCAGGGTTTTTTTTTTTTTTGTCTTGTGTTTCTCCCACCTTTCTACGCTGCAAAGATTAATACATTTGTTTTCACCATCTTGAAACAAGTCAGCCCACAAATCGGCAACACCAGTTTACATGAATCTCAGCTTTTTCTTGCCACTGGTCTGCTTGAGGAAAGGCAGATGTAGGAGGAATATGTCTAGGTGCGGTGCAAAGCAGTCGATCACCAAAGGATTGAAAGGATATAGTGGAAGCTCAAGGTCAGCCAGTGGAAGATTTTGAGCTAGCATAACAAAATGTTGCTGACAGCAAGAAATGGTGCGCCAACACTGACAGGAAGACCCCAGAGCGTTTATCTGCTCTATGACAGTCCGTCTTCCTCTTTAAACTCTGACTCACCTTAATTAAGCTTTAATCAGAACTGTTTAGTCTGTCTCCAGACAATACCAGCGCTAAGACTCTGGATTAATCTTTGACGGCGTTGTGAGTGGGACTGAATTATGAAGTCCCACATGCTAACAATACGCGTCCTTCTAATCATCTGTCATCGAAATCTCTTTACCATCTCTATCAGAGGGACCTGTCTGTTTGTAATTTCAAAGACGGCGTAGGAGGAACTTTTGAAGGGAATGTTGCTTTGAGGCTGATGAGGAATCTTGTGTGCCGCACCGTGGTATATCCACTTCTCTAGAATTCATAATTACTCACAGAGTCAGAAGCCGAAAATGATTCCAGGCCATAAGCAAAGGTTAGAAATCAGTAAATGTTGCCAAATATCCCTATGATTGATTTGTTGAGTGTTTATTAATGACCGTCTTGATTTCAGCAGTCTTTCCCTGAGCAGAGCGTGCTTGATTTCGTTCTTTTGTGCTGGTCTGTTGGACAAAGCCCAAACGACAGAGTCAATAACACAGGAAATTCCTACTGGACTTTCAAAATTTAGGAATTTCAGCACCAAGTTTATGGGTAACACTGAAAAATCTACACAAAGAGCCACATTGAGGCAGGAGTTACCCGTGTCAAACTGTCCCATGATGCGCTTCATCTCGTGTTTGGCACCACCCACAACAGATGGCTGGAGTCTGTTGACATTTGCCCATCAGGCTACTGCGCTGGTCTTTGATAAAAATCTCACCTCCTGTGGTTTACACGTGGCCACAAATGTCAACAAATGTCGAGGAAATGTCAAGGCCACGAACATTAAGACCCACATGTTCTGTGTTCGCAAATGACTTGATAGCCATTCAAATTCAACGCACATCTGCTTCTGTGATTTTTCTAAGAAATTAAGAATGTACAATTAACTAATGAAAAATTAAAGGGAACCCTTCACTTGTGCCAATGCAAGTATACATGAATGTTCGAAGTATTTATGAATGTTTGAATAACATGTCAAATGGAAAGAGAATCATGCTATGGCATGTTTTTTTTGTTTTTTTTTTTAATGATCTCTCATGTGACCAACCTTATTCACATTTGATTTTAATTGCGTTTCTTATTCAATGGAAAGAGTGCAATTGCGAAATTGTGTTTTCTTGACATTAGCAGAATATCGACAAAGTTTTGTAATGGAAACGTAGCTTCTGTCTTCCTGCCAAATAACCAAAACCTTAGATCACTACTTGATAACACCAACCTGCTTTCCTCTGTATCAGTAACATACACAAAGTTAGTTATGTCCGATCAAGCTCCATGTCCTTTCTAGTCCACGCAAATAAAATTTAGGGTTTGTTACACTTTCTAGTGACACTCACTCTACAACTACAAATCTATACTTTTGCATGAATTTGTTAATAATCCATCATTTTGTCCCCATAAGGTTGCATTTTATCACAAAAACCAACGTGTTACAGCAGTGGTGCCCAAGTCTTCAGGGTTACTTTCCTGCTACTTTTAAGATGCATCCCCTTTGTCGCTGTACGCTGTATTGGTGTCAACATTGGTAATGACCAATATTAGTCATTTTAGTAAATCTGGACTGATGTTAACAGCTGTTTCCATCAGGTTGCCGTTCGTATTTCTGGAGACGACGTGATCGTTTTTTTCACAGTGTTAAAAAAGTAGGAGAATGTAACATATAGGGTATGATATCTGTAAATATCGGTTATCGGGTATAAAAGCAACATTAAATATTAGAGACCCTTCATCCTCTGAAGGCTTGTGTCTGTGTGTGTGTTTGGAAAAAAAAATCCAAACACACACGAAAAAAAACATCGAGTCTGTTGCTTCAACCTAATAAAACATGTAAAAGTTAAAGATACATGAATATTTAACCTTTAATGCTGGGACTGACTCTTTTCTTGTATTAACAGTCTTATCTAAAATAACCCCCAGAACTTGTCAAAAACAGCTTTGGTTTAATAAACAGCAACGCCAACACACACACACACACACAGCATCAGCGACGGTGGCCTCCACCTTTCACCATCACTGACGGGGATTGCAATTTAGCGGATGAAATGAGGAGCAGACAGCATGTAATTATCCGACCGCCTTGCACAACAGCTTATGTTCCTCTCACCGAGCATGACGCAAAAATGTGACAGAGACGAGGGTGGGAAACGACGAGGAAAAGGGGAGAAAGTAGAGTTTTGAATTAGGGATAAAAGGATTGTTTTTGGTCATTTCTTTCCTTCTGCCTTCATTAAACTAGGCTAACATGATGAACTAGTTGCTCGGCCTCCGCAGCTCCAGCTCCCCGCACCCCAAAGCGCCAGGCCCTGGCCGCTCATGATGGATCTACGGGGAAAGCAGGTGAGACCGGGGGAAGGCGAGCTCGCTGTGTTTTTGCTACCGAAGTTCTGATTAGTTCTGGTGTGTTTTCCTCTCGTTCCAGATCGCCTCTGTTTTTCGGCCCGCCGGTAGCCGTGATTGGATACATGTGACATTTGTTTTTACTGGAAAACTGAATCAAAACTTGGTCGACCCACAGCTGCAGCACGAGCCAAGGCCCCATCGTTTCTCATCCAGTCAAAATAAAAACACGGGGATTGATGCAGCTCTCGTTTACGGCGAATGAAAGAAACATGAGATTGATTTTTTTTTTTCTCGTTTGACATCTGCTTGCTTTGATATTCCGCAGCCGAAATGTTAGCTGCTACCTCAAAGTAGAAGCAAAGTTAAGGCTGCATTGATCCGAGTTCAAAACAAATCTGTCTGAAAGGACAGACTGCATCAACACCAGCTGGAGAAACCACTTCACGTTCACATACTTGGAGCCACGGCATTGACAAACTTAATACAAAACATTTTATATATTTAATATATAGTATAACTGGCCTATGAATGAATGTATTTACTTACATTGGCCTCAAGTAAAGGGAACTGAAACAACTTCCAGACCAAGTTCCAACATTTCATTTCGAAATGAAAAAAGTCCCGGTGTCTCACCTTATTCTGTGACCGCCATGTTGTGACTGTAGGAGGCGCCGATGCAGCTTTACACGAAGCCTTGATAGCGCTCAAGACATTGAGACCAGGCAGTAACATACAGTAAAATACTAAACCAAACAGTTTCTGCTAACCAAAAAGGTCAAGACTGTTTTATAGTGATTATTTTTGCTTTAAAACTTTTATTAATTTAGAGGATTTATCTTCAGTTAGTTTAAAATGTTTGTTTTTGGTCGCACGAGCTACTAGATGTAATGGTTTTGAAGTCCGAATTGTGACATGGAAAGTATCCTGGCCTAAAGGTTGAAAATTCCTGCTCTGAAAATAAAAGTCAGGTCCAGTTGAAATAATAAACTATTACTTTAAATATAGCAAGGTCTGCATCTGATTAAAATAGCCTTTTAATAATATAAGTGCTTCTGCAATCCTTTGATGCGTTAACACTGCCATCAGCATGATTAGCAAAAATGAGCTGGTTTAGTCACAAGGTCCCACAAATATCAACATTACAAGGCAAATGAAACGTATCATCTTTGCGCATCTCTGAACTCTCCTCTGTTGGAGTATAAAGGAGAAAGGCGAGCTAGATGGGATTAGCAAGCATTGACCCATGTCACGGTATGCTACCAGTTTACTGAATTAGCTGTTCCAAGTCAGCTTTCTTTTTGCTAAATACATCTAAACAATGTCAATGACATCTCCATCAATGACGGGACTAAAGTTTATATGGTCTTTCAAACTTTTTAAGCTTTTGTTAGAGATCTAAATGTGGAACAGTTCAAATTTAAGCTACTAACCTAGCATGTTTACAAGGTGAAAACATGCTAGATTAGTAGAAATGCTAACAGTTCAATTTCCAGGCAGCAGAGTTGACATGTACTTGATGGCACCATCAGGTTTTGGCGAGCTCCACCTCCTTCGCTTTTGCCGCCACTCTTTAAATGTCATATTCAAGGTATGAAAGCTGGGCGGAGAGTTGGAGTTGGGAAAATGATCCTTGTACATCATGGTTAATCGAAGAGATGGTTTGAACTTCTTTCTTCTCTCTCTCTCCCCCCCTTTGTTCTGCTCTGCACATCCACAAATCTACTCCGGGATTTGGGGATGTTTTATAACTACCTGCTTCGAGATATAAAAACAATACCTTGTTGCCACAGTAAGACATCATAATAAATGTCCGAAAGTTAAGAAAAAAAAAAAAAAAGTAAGAGCAAAAATCCTTCCAGCTGCACAGCATCCAAACCCCGAGGGAATAATTGTCCAAACATGAGATGCCTTAACCCCCCCAAAAAAATATGTAAACAAAAGTCTACAAAAAGAACAGAGCAGGACTCACTGTTGTTGGCGAGTTCTTCAAGTCCAGATAAAGTGCAAAGAAACGGAACAGACGAGGAAGTTGTTGAAACATAGTAACACTATCTGAGATTTAGGTTGGGGACTCAACAGTTTGGAGGATAACCATACCGGACACACACACACACACACACACACGAAAGAAAAAAAAATGGCTAGCTCAATTTTTGGCAGACCATTGCCGCTTTGAATGTTGAAGGCGGCGAGTTCAGTCGCTCATACTGGTGGCAGGTGGGTCAAACCAGGCAAAAGCACCAGAACATCCTCTTCCTATGGCACGTTGTTTGCAGAGCTGCAATTAAACGGCTCACGTGAACACCTCGTCTCATCTTCCTCTTTAAGCTCTTCGTCGGAAGAGGAGTTTACACAGAGGCTTAAGTCTCCCTTTGTCTTAGAGACAAGAGAGAGGGCCCGGAGGTGTCGGGGGACAGGTTTGATTCAGGGGCTCCTTGTTAAGCGAGGGAAACTGTAGAAATAACCCACTGATAAGATGTTGTTCTCTTCGAGATGAAAGAAAAGAATGTGACAAAGTAATCCTCGCTTCCCCCTCTAACTCTTGTTAGCTGAGTCACGGTAAGGCGAGAACACATCCAGCAGCTGTCAGCATGTAGTTAATATTTTGTTCTTCAGAAAAAGGGAAGATGTATTCTTGGAACACAAGATAATCACAAACCTTAGAAGAAGGGAGTTTAAGGGAGGTGGAAGACGGTTGTGCTAAAACACTCTTCTCACCGTCCTGTAAATTTCATTTGTCACCCTGTTCCAGGAAGCTCGAAATGAAAAGGTGTAGCTACCTCTCCAGTGAGGCTTTATTCCAGCTCTATTCTTGACAAGCAGGTCTAAATCAGATGGACTGAAGCAGGGAAGCATCCAGCACTTAACAGTGTAGCAAATAAGCGACAACAGACCAAAGTTTGACACTTTGAAACAAGACTTAATGTCGTCTGTTATAAAAACAATGTCTGAACCCAA